GGGACATTTGGGCAACAGCCTCGAACCCGTGAATCACTTCAAGACTTCAAGACTGGACTGGACTGAACTGAACTGAGTGACCTCGTTATTCAGCGGGGTTTTGATTTTGTAATATTTTGTCGTATGCCTACTCGAATAATACTAATGAGTGGCTTTAAAAAGGTTCTGAATTTCAATGGATTAGTACTGATTCCTAAAACGCCATATACTAAACTTAGTGTGAATTCCATCAACCCCAATGTTGTGCGTTTGGAATATGCTGTACGTGGTCCGATTGTTCAAAGAGCTCAGGAAATAGAAGACTCCTTAAAGAAGGTGACCAATGAATAACATAAAATGCATTCTGTAGGGTGAAAAGAAAGGTTTTGATCAAATTATCAAGTGCAACATTGGCGACTGTCAGGCTGCAGGACAAAAACCAATCACATTCATACGCAACGTATTGAGTGTGGCCACTAGTCCGGATCTTTTCAAGAGTTCCTCTATTCCTGATGATGCGAAAATGAGAGCAAAGCGATTTTTGGATAGCTGCGGAGGTAGTGTTGGTGAGTTTCATTAACCTTTGTGCTTACATGACAAGCAGTTGCCTACGACATGACATGCAACTGAACTGAACTGAACTGAATGTCATGCCGTAGTTAGTTAGTTGCAACTAATGAAGCCCAGGCTGCACGCGCATCGCCGTTTAGTCACCAAAAACGTCATCGTGCGAGAGTCACCGTTTAGTGACCGCGGTGACTAAACGGTACTAATCACGAATAATGTACTAATCGCGATGGGTTTACCCATCGTAACGGATTGGTGACTGTCCAAAACGTTTCGGTAGCAATTCATCGCACTTTCGTTTCATTTCTTAACGGAAGGACCACCAGCCAACGTTCCTTTAAATACGTAGCAGCGCTATTTATGGAAAACTGCGATCCTGAAACTGATGAATATTCGAATTGCTCAGAGACGATATCGCGCAGTCTAATCGAAACGTTTCAAGCTATCAATTTCTCCACCCGCGAATAAGGTGCGGAAAACGCGTTTGCCAAACCTTATTTGCATAATCAATCTAGGATAAGTGTCTGGGTTCCTAAAGTTCTCTTGTATCTGCGGAAATAAGATAATTGTATCTCCTACTATTGAGCTCCAAACGTTGTCCAGCTGCACTTTAAACTCTTCCATATTAGGTTTTTTAAGAACACGGTAGGGAGAATTTCAGGGTTTGTTATTATTCTATCTGCAAGGTAGCGGCATCCCACCAATAATCCACTTGTTTTTTTAAAAATCTACTCAAAATTGCTTTGAGCTAACAAGTGACTACTCTAGAATCACCACAGGTATATTAATTCTTATGTCGAATTGCTTGATCCAGTGCTTTTCATAGTGAACAGGTAAAGAGATCATAAACGTTAGTAATGGTTGAGTTCTCACATAGCTCAAACCATGCGGCACTTTATCCCCTTGACGTCTCAGATGACGTCCTTTCCATAAAATATATGCTGTCTAAGCCTGAATGGAAAACTTCAGATGAGGAAAAATCAAGATTACATATTTAGGCACAAAGTCTGCCATGAATTTGCCGAAAATACCCGTTTGTATCCGGAAGAGTGCATACCTTGGGTTCGCCAGTGGCAATGGACATGATACTTGTGGTTTACTTCCGTCTTGTTTGGAAGTAAACCAAGTGTTCCTTTGGTTGAAAACAAACTGCTTAGAGATAGTTATAGTACCTTTAGGATATCCGGAGTCTATAGGTACCCCGACCATGTCGCAAACGAAAGTTCCTACGAAAATAGAACTAAACGCTTCACGAAACATACGAGGGTTGCATTGTGAATAAACCTTCAGAGCCATAAAAGGAGATGCGGGGGCGTGCGAAAAGTAGAAGCAAACACGCGTTGATCAAATAAGTGGTCTTGTAGTGGTAAAACAATGAGATGCAAGAAAGAAAAGTTAGGTGTAACGTGAGAGGCAATTTGTGCCACTACATCCGTTTCTCCAGTGAATTTCTTGGAAGATACCATTAAGAAGACTACTGACAGACCTTGAAGATGACTATTTGCATCCAACCAGATTCGTTGCAACTTTCAACTAGTTTAATACCAGTGGCGTCTATGAAGCGCGATTTGCTTAATTGTATATTTATATCATCGATGAACATTACAAGCAGGAGGAGGAGAACTAGGTTCTATTAATTTGTGTGCATTTGCCTGTCAGGTATTCTCATAGGCACACTTTGTATTCAAGATCTATCACGAATGCTAGTACTCAGTTGCATGTTATGCTGTTTAAACCAGTTCATGACTTTCGGAGTTGCTTGGTAAATAGAGTCGAATATCTTTTGAAAGCACAAGCGTTAAAGTTGTATTGCTCACTTCTGGCACAAAGGTACCACATCTGCAAAGCCCAAATCTCCGTAAGGTACAAAACATTCGTCAAGGTAACAGTATGAGCTTTACAAAACTCAAGGAAAACAGTTTTCCGGAGCTTACTGTAGATGATATTTCGGATGATCTAATTGAGCAGTTTGTCTATGACTCTCGTTAGACGGACAGACCCGTAGTTTGCGGTTGAACTATAATGGCATTCTTCCAATCAGTTAACGCTCTACTTAAAATGAAAGATTTTATCAACACTGATTCAGCGTTTTTAATAGACTGAGGCTATTGGTTTTTGTATGACAGAGTGAGTTATTTGGAATCAAAGATTTGGAGGGGTTAGTTATTTTTACCGCACCCTCTACGTCTGACTATAAAATCACCACTTCTTGTATCCAATTGGAGTAACTTGGACTGTTATCTCTAGTCAGAAGCCTCTTGAAATGAAAATCCTGTTTTTATCTGTGGTAAGGCTTTGGCAGTTTACTTGTAAAACGTTTCCTGTAATGTTTCTTGAGAACAACCGCACCTACAACATTTTCTCTCTCTCTTTAATTTTAAGTTTATCAAGCTTTCAAATATTACCGGAATCTGTAAGACATCATTTCAATGAATTTTGAATAAATTATTTATACCAATGAACTTATGTTGATACATTAATGTCTTCGCCTAAGATTTCCGTGAGGTTATTCTAAAGAGATTTTCTTTCAAATTGTAAATTTATTCATAAATAAATGCATTCAGTTTAGTTCAGTGGATACAAAAGCGATCCTATTGGGGGGGGGGGGGGAAGGGTGGTGGCTGGCCTGCATTAAGTGATACACAAAGGATCTCAGCTTCCGTATATGAAATCTTCTTTAGAAAACGCTTTATGTGTACTGGTGTTATTCCAGCCTTTTCCTCTATCAGAAGTGTTCCTAAATTGCGACTTTCACAAATACAGGATAGGAATTTGTCATAAATATATTTGAAGCTGTTACTTGAATGGAACAGTCTACCTTGTTCACCCACCTCCTGGCAACAACTTACAGTTAACTGGAAACCACATATCATCTTAGCAAGCTGGCACACAGTGTAGAACCTATCGTTTTATCTGATGATGGAATCTTCAAACGTGTCGCTAATAACATAGACAGCTGAAACCTCAATCTATATCAACCGTCACACGGTGAAACTCGACGGCTTGTTTGGGCCCACTGATACTTCTCGGCTAATCCCCAAATACAAAAACTACAACAACAATAACCAAGTTAGGACAACAAAAATATTTATCGAAATAGAGAAAGCCCTTCGGAATTCGGAAAATTTGAGCATATAGTCAATGTGTTTTCTGTCTAAAAATTAGGGGCATCGTTTATGCTGAGTGCTAATGAAAACATCAATGTGGGGTAAAACAGGGCACATACAAATTCACCTCATATAACAAATATATCCAACCATAAAAATAGTAAACATAGGCCAAAAGGTCATTTCATTCATAATTAAATAGGGTTTATGTCGTAGTATAATGGTTGATTGGAGAATTTTGGTAATAAATACCGTTTCACCTAAAGTGACAGCTGAAGTTGGGTGTAGATACCTTGAAAATTATTGCTTAAGTTCAATCCCAAGTATCTTTTGGCCCATGGTAGCTAGACTGTCGACTATTTTGAAAATGGACATATTTTATAACACATCATTATCCTTCAAACTACGAAATCTATTCGATAATGAGAACCAACTTAAAATTTAGCCCATACTAGGATACATTTCAATTTGTGACAGTTTAAGATTTCTGCACAATGTAAGCAATCATCTGAACGATGAACGTGCTAATTTGATGTTGTACAATGGGGTCATTCAAGAGGAAATCAAGGGTTCACTGACACTCAACAGGAAGATGGTGATAGTGATCACGCGTCTTGTATGAAATCTCCTTGCTTAAGATGGATGATAAACTCATAACCCTTCAAAATATTCTAAACTTTGGCATGTATTTGTTTCCTTATTTGGTTGTGTGCTTATCCACTTATAAAGATTCTTTTACGAAGGCAATATTCACCTATCACGCAGACACGTTGACGAGAAGTCAAACATTTTGGTCGTTTTCCCTATAAGATTACCAGTAGGTAAGGATATCGTAATGACATTGGCTAGCGGGTCTAAGGAACATTAGCAACGATCACCAATAAAGAAAATGAGTCCCCTGAACAAACATTTCAAACTATATGGAGGCTCATTATTGTTGGTTATTTGTTAGCGTTACGAAGGGCACGTGGTTGGTAGACCGTATAAGTTCTGGATTTACTACGGTAGTGTTTGATGAAGTGCTTTATTCCATCATCAGCGTCCGAGCATCACTTGAGTGCAGCATTAGTCACTGACATTAACGCTACTGTTAGAAGCAAGGCTCAATGGTTATTCACTCTCTGCGAAAAGCAGGATATGTGGAACAAATGACTGCAGTTTTTCGAACATGATAGACTGCGTTCGAATGTGAAGCTCTGCTCAGCTATATTTCAGGGCCCAGATTACCCGCATGAGTTTTCCTGCGCATCTGAGATTCCCATTTGCAACGATTTACAGCCGGGTGCAATCTGGTAGCCTGTAGATGAAATTCATAATTGGTTATTCCAGGAATATGTCGGCACGTTGCACATTCTTCGACGAATGAAACTCAGCCACAGTGCAAAGGTATTTTGCTGCGAGGCTGCAATCAGGCCTCAATCTGACATGGTGGGCAGTCAGCTGTTTGAATTTGCCCAATGAAAGTTCAAAAGAATTTTAATATGATGCATGAATAGGAACAGATCCCAGTGGATTTTAGATTACCTCCTAAATGGAAATCCGTAGGAAGCTTTTGGTTCAATTAATTTGTTTGATTTTGACCAAAAAATACTAAAACGCAAAAAAGATCACAATTGAGAATCAGAATTGAGAAAGGTCATCACTGAACTTGAGAACTCAAATACCTGAACTTTTAAAATGTTTTAAACATTTTGGCCAAATTAGACGCTTTGCAAAAGAACTGTTTTTTGGAGTACGTATGAAGTTTTCACTTTGAGAGAAGTAGAAATTGTGCAATAAGAAGCCCGATGAGGTTATATTCCAAATAATATAAGCCAAGACAAAACGAAATGATGTTTAATGCCTTATTTTGCTCAGTTGTTTGACTTTTTATTTGATTAAAGAGTTCTGTTGACATCCATTTATTTAAACGTGGTAAAAAGAACTTTAATCTCAGATGGGCTTCCAGTACACAAAATAGAAAGGTATTTGCAACGTGACTGGTGAGGATAGATTAAAATTAAGCATAATTGGTTTTATTTAATACAAGAATAATTTCTATGTTTCTCGACTAAGCTTTCCTGAAAGAATGATCCATAACTATTAGGACACGAAGGAAACACGGTATCATTGATTTCGACTAACCATTTTGCAGAGTTCATCTTTGCGCTTCATCTTCGGTTTATCTAGTTACCCATACATCTTCTGAGCATTACACTGGAGTTTCACTCTTGTTGGAACTCATCAGAAATGCATATTTTTAATCCATCCGGAATTTTATCTTCGGACCTTGAGTACGGAAGGTGATCGTGACCCCATTATGCTAGTCAACCTGAAACAGAGAGAGATGATTTTTACCTAAACAAGTTTTACTCAAAGATTGTCTTCGGGGATAGTTTGTCAGTTGTTGGCTCTAACGATCTTGAGGAACTCACAGAATGTCATATATTAACTTCAACAGAAAGCTTCATGTCAGATCAGTTGTTCCCGGTTGATTTAGGTACACTGTCCAAACCAAATCTGGATTGAGTTCACATCATTGGCTTGTAAGAAGTGCCTTCCGCATCATGAATCAGGAGTTTAACTCCCGGATGAGACGAAAAATATGCACTAATATGAGATTTAACAAGAATCAAAACGTGATTCTTTTGCAATCCGATGTGTAGTTCACTGGATGAACTAAGATTTGTACATAAAGAAGAAATCTGAAGTATTATTAGTTATAATCTTGTTTTACACAATTTTTGTGAGTTAGCAATGTGAATACGGTGGTGATTGCATCGACCTTAAAGGTATATGAAGTAACGTGATTAGTATTCACAAGTTGACGGTTATACAATGTGATCTCATCCGGAGGCATAATGAACGATAGACTATAGAGATTAGGTGGGTACGTCCCTTTTATTGACTTAACTTCTGCCAAATGTGTGCAGTGTCTGCGGTAGCTCTGCCCCATAAACTGTGAGGAGCATTGGTGAAAAATTTATCAAATT